GGGGGCGGGTGAAGCGAGGGAACGGAGGTGTGGTGGGTGAAAACGGAGAGAAACAAAGGTTGGGTGAGGAGAACTGGAGGAAGATGAGATGAGAGGGGGCTGAAGGTGGGATGAGAGAGGTGACAGTAAGTCTGAGGGTGGGGAGCAAAGAGAAGCAATGAAGGAGAGTGGCTCGGGAATGGGGGAGCAGAAGCTGGGTGAGGGGGCTGAGGTAGAGAGTTGGAGGAAAGGGGTTGTGGTGGCACTGGCGGTGACTATGTGTGATCAGCCCTGGGACTCTTCCCTCTACCAGAGCATACACAATTACATTTCTAAAGGAGCATGGGCACCTGGCTGTAATTTGTGTATATCATTAAAGCTGGCGGGATTACTGAAGAGAACAGAGCAAACAGTACCATGGGCTTAACTGGGTGCACCATACAAGAGCGTGTTGAAGTTATATAAGACACTAGTTCAGCATCAGCAGGAGTACTGCATCAAATCCAGGACACCGCACTATTTGAAAAGGATGTGAACGTATTGGAGAGAGTACAGGGAGTGTGCACTGTAACTTTTTTTACAGGCACAGAGGAAGTCTGTGTTTGTGTATGTCATCAAAGGTGGCAGGAATGTTGGAGAGAGCTGTCAGTAAAGCAAACGGTACCTCGGGCTGCATTATTACAGGGCACATGTACAAGAGCAAGGAAGTTATGTTGAAGGGTACAGTGTGGTGGAGAAAAGGCAGGATATCAATACCAAGTCAAAATGCTCACAAGAGCTGGAGCAAACATAATAGGTTTAGTGACCTCCTCCTGTGTCGTATCAGGTCTGTGACTGGACAATGAATCTGATATGATAGGTTGTGGATTGTAAATATAACCTGCCAAGGTGAATGGTCCTGCTCTGCAACGATGGAGCTGATGTGAATTGTGTCCCACTTCTATCCAATATTGAACAGGTAGGGCAGTTGTGGAGAGGTGGTAGTGTCCCTATCTCTAGACCAAGAGGCCTGAGTTCAAGTCCTGCCTGCCTAGAGGTGTTTAATTGCATCTCTGAACAGGTTAATTAGAAAATCGCTCCAACGTTCAACTGAAACTTATCACACCCAACACACTCTTATAAAATCTATCAACGATGTTTTGCTTTGGGAAAATAAACTCTTTGATTAACTGCAAATTGCAGCAATTCATGGATTCCCAGCCCAATTTTGCAGGTTGAGGAGTCCGTAGACGATGTGTATATTGGTGCGGCCATTTGTACACAAGTTATTTGGAAAGTCTTTTGTTGTATTTTGTTGCACTTCAGCCTTACACTTCTCATCTTTGGGCACCCAGTGCAGAGGAATGTGGGCAGATCAGAGGATATCCTTGAGTCTGCACCTGGGCCTAGCCAGGCTGGCTCTAAACAGGTCCAGGCAGAGGGGGTCGTATCTGTTGACTGTCTGCCCCTCTCCTGTGGTTACATTCGTGCCTCAGTGTCCCTGGAGAAGGAGCATGGGGATGCCTTGAGAGAGAGATAGATGTAGGCACCATGGGGGATACAGTGCTTTTATTACCCCTACCAATTCCATTTTGATTTAGTCCCTTCCTTCTCTCCCCACCCGTTGCCCACTTCTAAGGATTTGCACTGCCCTTAATGGGCTTTGCTTGTAAATATTTAATTGGCTACATGAGCGAATACAGGTGGTGGTTAAAGGGAGGAGAAAAAAGACACAAATGAAAAGTCACTGATTTTGGTGGTGGGAAGGTCGCTGAGTTGTATGTAATCGCTCTTCTCGGAATAAGAAGGAAACAAATAAACCCTTTGGTCGTGTAGTTTGATACCAGACAACGAGTTCCGGTTTGGGACAGATTGTCGGAAGGTAATTCGTAAACGAATGTACTGGAGCTCCTTTTGATGCATACAAGTTGGACCAGTATGTGACGTTTCATCAGTTTTACTTCCTTCTGGTGAGAGGAGAAGGCAAAGTCAAGAACTCAGGGCAGGACTTATACACTTAATGGTAGGATCCTGGGGAGTGTTGCTGAACAAAGAGACTTTGGAGTACAGGTTCATAGTTCCTTGAAAGTGGAGTCACAGATAGACAGGATAGTGAAGAAGGCATTTGGTACGCTTGCCTTTATTGGTCAGTACATTGAGTATAGGAGTTGGGATATCACGTTGCAGCTGTACAGGATGTTGGCTAGGCCAGTTCTGGAATACTGCACTCAATTCCGGTTATTTTCCCTGGAGCATCAGAGGCTGAGGGATGACCTTATAGAGGTTTATAAAATCATGAGGGGCCTGGATAGGGTGAATAGTCAAGGTCTTTTCGCCAGGGGTGGGGGAGTCCAAAACTAGAGGGTGTAGGTTTAAGGTGAGAGGGGAAAGATTTAAAATTGGACCTGAGGGGCAACTTTTTCATGCACAGGATGGTTCATGTATGGAATGAGCTGCCAGAGGAAGAGGTGGAGGCTGCTACAATTACAGCATTTAAATGGCATCTGGATGGGTACATGAATAAGAAGGATTTACAGGGATATGGGTCAAATGCTGGCAAATGGGACTACATAAATTTGGGATATCTGGTTGGCATGAGACTCAAAGGGCCTGTTCTCATGCTGTACAGCTCTACAACTGTATAACTGTCTTCAGGGTCAAATATTAAAGTGACACCAATGATAGTAAATACTGTTGTCAGTACATGATAATCGTACAGCTATTAGGCTCTGACTTATATTTAGGATTTTAATCAAGTGCTTCCCGCACCTTTTCCATCATTCTCAAACCCATTTCGAGGTTTGAAAATTGTCACCGCACTTCGGTGAGAGCTATTCCAACTTGGTCAGAACTGTAAGGCGGCTATGGCTGCCTCTGAGCTTGGAGTCCTAACCTTCGCTTCAGGGAACAGGGCCTTGC